GCTTCCAAAGGGGCAGGGGGCGGCGGTGATTTGCCGTGGGCGTCTTCGATATACATGTATACAAGCGCCCTCCTGGTTTGACCAGGGAAGTTTCTACCCGACAATGGGCCCTGGTGACGCTGGCGCAGCCTCTGAGCGCACGCCGGCGGCACTGCATCGGTGAACTGTTCGCGAGGGTCACTGCGGCACTGTCAATACCACGCGGGGTTGGCCACTTCTGATCTTGCTAAGGTGGGCCAGTCACACAAAAAACGGCCAGGTCTGGCTGGGAACAGCACCCAAATCTGGGCCAGCGGGCGCCGCGCGGTCCAGGCTGGCTCTGGTTAAACTGATCCTAATCACCAATTCACCTAGGCGCGAAAGCGCACGCCTCGCCAGCTGGCCCGAGTTCGCAGTCGGGCTGGCTCCACTGCCGAGGCGACGGGACAACGGGGAGTCTTGCGGTTGCCGATCGCTCCTCTGCGGCTCTCGATGTGGCAACGCTTGCCAGAAGTGAATGGTGCTGCCCCACAAGAACGGAAGCCTGCATAAACGCAAACTTTCGGAGGTCCGCGCGGATTTCTGGGGCCTGCGCTGGAACCCCTCCCTGGCGCACGGAGCGCGCCAGGGGGGGCGCCGCAGGCGCCGCCAGAGGGTCCCAGCGCAGATCCAAGAAATCTGCTCGGACCTCCAAACATATTGTTTACCATACGGAGTGGCTGTTTCTTCGATGTCCGTATCTCCAGCAGCTTGGGCCCCTGATGCGAGAGCGCACCGCGCCTCGTCAGGCCGGAGAGAACATACTAGGGAGGCGGTTCCGCGTCGATGGTCTCGCGTCAGCAAACCACCCACATATTCCCCCGTCACGGCCCATAACTCGCCCCTGTGTCATCATGCTGCTCAGTCTTCGGATAAGAGCTCCACTTGAATTTCCGCCTTGGATTTGCCCTGGCCCCGTATGGGGCCCTCCTCGGCCGTCGGGCCAATATAGATTCGGCGCTCTCCTGGCAGACAGGGCTTGATCCTTCTCTCGTGGACACCCGATTCGATCATGGCGCATTCGAGGTACTGGGGCCAGGCCTGGCTGGATGGAGCCAATATGCTTGTCAAGTCCATCGTGGCAGCGCGCGGCGAGGGGGCGCGAGGAGGGCGACGACAAGGACGAGGATTAGCAGGAAGACGGCATGATGATGATGATGATGATGATGATGATGGTGATGCCGATGATAATGATGATGGTGTTGACTATGATGACAATGATTCTCGTGAAAATGATGACGACGACGATGCAAATGATGATTATGATGATGGTTGTGATGATGATGCTGCTGATGATGTTACTGCTGGTGATGAATGTGGTGGTGATGATGATGACGATGTTGATGTTGCTGCTGCTGCAGATGATGATGATGATCGACCGTGTCCTGGCGTTGTTCGTCCACAGCTGCCTACTTAAACGTAGCGCGATGCGCGGCAGCTAGGACACCATTGAGCAGCTCTGCGCGGAGCGGCTGACCGAGGGCGCTGGAAGCCGTGGCCTCGTGGTAAGTGTGAAAAGCCAAAACGCGCTGCGTGAGCGCAGATGCACGGTTCATCGCACAATTGGCGGAATTGTACTCGTTGGGGGCCGCGAAGCCCGACAAATGATTGAGAGAAAACGGGAATCAGAGGAGACGACGCAAAACGGGACAGATGAGGCAGTAAGAAACCGCATCGGCTTCGTCGGTGCAACCGAGCAGGCAGGAGGAGGAGCCACACACATGCATACGGCACGAAGTGGTCCAGTCTCCCGCGAGCGTCTTGATAATGGACCATTGCCACGCTGGCCGGAATTTGCGCAGATTAACGAGACACCCCCACCCCCACCGCCCCCCGACCGACCCTCAATAAACTGCAGCAGGCCCCAAGCGCGCAGGCGCTTGGCGATGGTGCAATGGAACTCAGCGGGGAAGAGAGAGCGTCGGAGCGAGGAGAAAATCCGCTGCACCTTCGCCATGCGTCCGATCCGATGGCCTGGGCGCTGCTGAGCTCCTCGCGCGCAGCCGCCGCCGCGGCAAGCCAGTGCGCAACCGAAACACTTGTACAGGGCGCGCGCTCAGCCATGGCATGGAAGCGCTGAACAATGAATGCCCTGCCGGATCTGCCAGCAAGGAGCGCTCCATTCGCCACGCAGCCAAGCCACCAGCGGCAGGTCTTGGATCGCCTGCTCCGACCATGCCTGAAAGTCACAGTGCCAATCTACTAATGCGTGGCACGCACATCGCCAGAGGCTGGACAGGCTGAGCAGCCGTACTGAAGCAGGCGCAATGAGAGCGGGATCTCTGAAAGCAACAGATCTGCATTACGAAACGTGCGAGGCGGCAATCGAAGAACTTTGTGTAGCGAACTTTTCTTTTTGCTGAACCCACCGTGGACTTGGGTAGAGCTGAGCAAGATAGCTAAGGACTGTTAGTGCAGTTCTGCTGTACACTAACACGCTTACGCTTGTGGGACTATTCACCAACGGGATCTCGCAAACTCGAGACCACCACTTGCGCGCAGCGCCCGCCCAGATTGCGTTCTCTGTCGCGCCAGGGCCGAACTGCACTCCTAGATATTTGGCGCGGGAAGCACTGACGATGTCTGCCCACGACGGAATATGCTGAGCAAGAAAAGCCCGCGCGTGATGACCTACCTCAGGCGTGAGCTCCGTCCAAAGCAAAACAAGCACAGTTTTATTGGTCTGGAGACGAAGGTGGGCCAAACGCTCGGCCTTATCCAAACACAGGAAAAGCTCGCGGCAGATCAGCCAGCCGCGGCTGAACTAAGCTAGCATCGTCAGCACATCCTCCCGCCACCCCACGACAGTCACCCAACGACAACGGCGAGACCTCCCACACTAAACGGCGCAGCACTGGGTCCATGGCAATGGCCCAGACAGAGCCAGAGAGCGGGCATCCTTGCATCACCCCAGACTGGAGATAAAACATCTACTGCTGCTCGCCATTCGCAGCAGCGAAGCTTCGCGGTGCATGATAGACAGCGGAGATCAAGTTGCTGTACCCTTCGGGTAGACCAAACCGCGCAAGCACCTCCCAGAGCCACTCATGGCCCAGCGAGGGACATGCGGCAGCAACGTCAAAGGCAACAAAGACTAGACAATCCTGAGCAGCCGCCTCGCGAATGCTCGCTCGACTCGCGGCGGTGTCGAGGCGCGTGAGATTCCTCAAGAAATTGCGGCGCGGCACAAAGCCCTGCTGGACCTCATACGTGCGCTCCTGTACGAGCTTCTTAAGCTTGTGATTAGCTGCCGCTGCGAGAATCTTAGAATCCGTGTTGCGCAGCGACAGGGGGCGAACTTGCGAGGGTTGCCGAATGCATTCGTAAGCATCCAGCGGCTCAGAGCCCTTGGGCAGAAACGCGAACATGGAATCATTCAGCGAGCACGGAGCGAAGTGACCTGCCATCAGATGTTTCAGGAGCCGGTGCAGCACGCGGAGCGAGTCGACAGAGACTATCCAAGCCTTGTAGGGGAGCCTATCGGGACCAGGGGCACTGTGACGAACGCGCTTGAGGGTCTCCTGAAGGTCCTCGAGGCTCGGGATGGGGATGTCGGCCACGTCGAAGGCCGGCTAGTGCTCCTGAAGATGTTGCTGAATATCCAGCTTGTTAGCCGGCTTCGCCCGAAAGACCTCAACCCAATGGCGCTTCAGGGACTCGAGAATCTGAGAAGGAGCTTTCACCACTGCGGGCTCCTCAGGGCCCAACACGTGTTCAGGACGAACACTCGAAAGAACAAGACTCCTTCCCTTCGGTCTCCAAAACAAGGCGCGGCGGCGGGCAGCATTCTGATACTTGAGATGGGCAGCAGCACCCAGAGCATCTCCAGCGCGGAATGCCTGCTGCGCAGCCTGAGCCGCACGATGTTGAGCAACCTCCAGTTCAGCGGCATGCAGAGAACGAAACTGTCGCCGAAATTCATCACGATGAAGCAATCGGACAGCTCCGCCTTCCAGTAGGAACCGCGCACCTTCTGATGTGGAGGAATAAGCAGCGCCGCCAGTTCAGCGTCCTGCCGCCATACCGCCCGAGAGATGGCTGCTGCAGATGATGATGCTGATGATGCTGATGATGATGTTGATGTTGATGATGATGCTGATGATAATGATGATGATGATGATGATGATGATGATGATGATGATGATGATGATGACGATGATGATGATGATGATGATGATGATGATGATGATGATGTTGATGATGGTGGGGATGATCGGCGGGAGGTGGACTTTTCCTCTTGGTCTAGTCGGCTCAGCCCAAGGCGCCACCAATGAAAACTGTCGGCGGCGCGGCGCGAAACCACGTACGTCAAATAGAACAAACTGCTACTGGGGAAAACGTATGCCCTGAATGAGCGCGGGCAAATTCCTATGAAAAACGTTCTGGCGATCTCGCAATGTCACCCACCCCTTGGATCGTGCCAGACCGAGTGTTGAACCATCCACCTGAATCATGGACCGAGTAATACAATGGCTGCCTTGTGCTGCCATCGATGAGTTGATGATGGAAGCACATGGAGAACCGCCTCGAAATGCGCGACCGAGGCCGCTGGCATTCAATTCCAGCTGCCACCTAAAAGAGGCGCGAGTACCGCAGATTCGCGCAGCAACTGCTAATTACAAATTAGCGAGCGAGTGGCGGTAATTTCAAACTATGTGTTTCCGCGGTTCAGGGTGCCCGTTCCAGAGCGGTTGGAAAATTCATAACCCTACCTGCCACAGTAGGGGCATCAATTGCCCAGCCGACCAAAGATAGGCGCCCCCGATCGCCGAGCAGTTTCGCTTGTACCGTCCTTCGCCCACTAAACGAGGCTCACCCCCCGCGCCCTCATCAACGCCATCCCTTATCCCCCCCTGCGCCGCAGGGCCAGGGGAGGTCTCAGGCGGCGGGCGGCGATGCGGCGCCTGCCCCGGCGGCGCGCTCTGACAGAAGCAGCGGCCGCTGGCGGGTGCGGCCTGCGCCCTGGCAGCCTCGCGCACCCGTCAGGCCTGGCTGGCGGCAAGCTGACGGCCCGGCGGCGACGCAGGCCGCCACACGTACTGGGCAGGAACGGCGTCGTCCAGGCGGCGAGGCGACCGCCCCAGGCCCAGGGGCAAGCCGCGGACGCTCGAGAGCGGCGGCTGCCTGGCGGAGCCGGCGCGGGCCCACCAGTGCGCCATCGGGTGAGGCTCGCCGGGCGGCCCGACCATGTCGCCGTGCTGCAACGTGGCGTCGATCCAGTCCGCGCAGGCCTCGGGGAAGTATCCGAACGCCCCGCTGCTCGGGGCCGTGCCGTACAGCCAGCCCTCGCCGCGCGCAAACACCTCAACAATGTCGCCCTCTGCGGCGTGGAGGCACTCGTGAGCCTCTGAGCGTCGTTTAACCGATCCCTATCCCACTGGCGTAGTCTTGGCCCCAATGGCCGACTTGCCCATCGGGGTAGGAACATATGAAACTGGGTCGAGGGTTCCCAAGATCTCCTCCCCTCCCGATGGAATGGGCCCTCAGGCCCCCCTCAGATGGGATGGGGGGACAACGACGGCGACGATGAAGACGACGTCGACGACGAACCACCCCACACCCACAGGGGGCCGGCCACCAGCACCCACCACCACGCCACGCCACGCCCACGGGGCCACGATCACGGGGGGAAGCATCCCATTCGCGATGCCTTCGCAAGGCTCGCGAACGTACCCATCCAGCGGGGAGAGGGTGGGGCGATCCCATTAGAATTGGGGGGGCTGGAGCCCTGGATCATACATGCCTGTTCTTTGCGGAGCCTACCCCACATGGCTCACTTGCCAGTTGGGTTCGGGACCATTCAAACGATGCTGAGCCTCCAGGCCCGCCGCGGCCGCCAGCGCTGCCCCCTCCGCGGCGCCTGCGTCGAAGCCCCGCGCCACGCAGGCGAGGGCCCCGCCAGAGGGGCCGTGCGGGGACTGGCTCTCCAGAGCCGGCGGCGACGCTGGCGGGGCCTCGGCGGAAAAGTCCGAGAACGACGGGTTGCTGCAGCCGCCCTGCCTCGCGCGGCACCTCGCTCGCGCCAGCCTCGCCGCCGCTAGGCCCGTCGCCGCCGCGGCGAGGACCCCTCCACCCGCGACCCAGAACAGGACCTTCTGCGCGTGGCTGGGCCCGCCGCCCGCGTCCGCGCCGGCGCCGTCGTCGCGTCCAGCAAGGGCCCCATCGCCCTCCTGCCCGCTGCCGTCAAGGTTCTCCTCGAGGCTCCAGGGCAGCAGGGCCTGCAGCTCCAGGAAGCGCATGCTGGACATCTCCAGGGCGAGGAAATCCTGCGCGGCCCGGCGGAAACGCCGCTCGAACAGCGCGCCGCCCGGCCACTCCGTGCCCGCTGGGGCGCAGAAACCGAACTCCAGCTCAGCGAGCAGGATACCCCCGTCCACTGCAGGCTGCGAGACGACCTCCGCCGCCGCGGCGACCGGATCCGAGCCGTTCTGCTGCGCCACCACACGCGGCTCCACGAGCATCGCCGAGCCGGCGTCCAGGCTCAGCGCCGCCGCCGTGGCCGCCTGCAGGATGGCCACCATGGCGGCCGAGAGCTGCCCGTGGGCCAGGTGCTCCCGGCCCAGCTCGGGCGACGGCGCCGCGGCGACCGCAAGCAGCGCGCGCGCCGGCAGGCCGGCGGCGCAGCCTGTCGCGCCAGAGGCCGGCGCGGCTACGAGGGGGCGGCAGCGTCCGTCGGCTCTGAGCGCGGCGGCCTCGTCCGCGCAGACGCACCTGCTATACACCACGTGGCAGCTGCACTCGTGCTGGGTCGACGACTCGCTCGTGGCGCAGACCGCGGCGCAGTCGTCGCCCGCTCCACCGCAGCCCTGCGAGGGGGTGCCCGTGAGCGCAGCGAGAAGAATCAGCACCTGCATTTCGTAATTGTGCACCGCGGGTCGGGCCAAGAGGGTGACCGCTGCAAGGCCCACGAGCGAGAACGCGCGCCCAAACAATTCCTTCAACAACAATGGCTGCTGGGCGGGAGGCGGATGGACAGGGAGGAGGAGGAGGAGGAGGAGGAGGAGGAGGAGGAGGAGGAGGAGGAGGAGGAGGGAGGAGGAGGAGGAGGAAGAGGGGGAGGAGGAGGAGGCAGGAGGCAGGAGGCAGGAGGAGCACGAAGAGGAGGATGAGCTAATCACTGTAGCCTTCTGATGGGGGAAAACAATATCTGCAGCCCACTCATCCAAATTAGTTCTCGCACGAGGATGAAACGGAGCGATGGGTCGATGAGAGATCTCAGAAATGCGTTCTCCTTCGTCCTCGGAAGACTATGCTGGTGGACTAGGACCCCTCGCTCTGGGACAAAACGCATGCAGCCCACTCTCTGGCTGCACAAATGAATAAGGAAACGCTCCTGGGAGACCTCGACGGGGCGAGCAGTGCCGAGCAGTCAGACAATGCACGGAGGACAGAGGAGGTAACTGATCCAGTGACCACTCCAGCACGACCATACAGCGTCGTGCTGGAACGGAGGCCGACGGGCGTGCGTCTAAGGGAGAGTGGCGTCACTCGCTTGGGGGTGCTGCCCTCCTTCCCCGCCCTCCTCCTCCTGCGCAACCGACGCACTACCCGACGTGTCGTTACGGCAGGCCGGCCTGGTCCCACTTGAGACTTCCACGAACTGTCTGGCCGTGAGGCCCGCAAGATGCCCACATGCTGCACGAATGCTGGGCAGCCCAGATCAACAGCCGCGTTCTTGCATGAGAGCCGCCCGTGCGCAATTGCCAGAAACAAATTGAACTACTCTGCTACGGGCGATCCCCATCAGGGAGCTGCTGCAAATAGTTTCGAAGTGTGTTGCGCGTGGCGTTACAGTGTGGCATGTCACATAATTGCTGATGCGTGGTCGCTGCACGTGTTCTGTAGGCTGGCAAGTTGTTCACGAATTGTTGTGCAGACTAGTTACACGGGTGATGCATGTATGCTAGTGTGTCACATGCGAACATGTGATATATATACGCCAGTTGTGTGATTTGGCGCGCGTTGCAGGCGCATGCGGTTCCCATAGTGATACCTTGGGTGGGGGTTAGTGATGTTTCGAATGAGAACGTGCTCTCAAGTTGTCAGGTTAGTGTCTGCCCATGGTTCACAAAGCTGTGATGTATGACTTGTATGGTACCGACGTGCGCTATTGTGGTCTGTACGTGATGCACGCTCTGGGATGTATACACGTGGGTGTCTGGTGTCTGTGTACTGCTTTCTGACATTGCTGTTATGCTGGTGATGCACGTTATCGGTGCAGGTTAATGATGTCCCGTATCTATGATAATTGTCCCAACCGTCCTGTGGTGTTGTGTCCTCCTTTTGAAGAGACAGCGTCCCGCGTCACCTCCCGCCCTCCTCCCCCTCCTCCCTCCTCCCCCTTCTTTGCCTCTGCCCTCCGCATGTCTGTGCTTCGGAACACCCCTCACACGCTTCGCGGTCCCATAGGGAGCTCCACCTAAGGCCCAAGTGGGATGGTTCGCATGGCACCACCGCCCCATTTCGGCGAACCTCTCACACGTTTCATGGCCCCATCAGGAGCTCCACCTAAGGCCCCAGTGCGAGGGTTCGCATAGCACCACCGCCTGATTTCGGCACATCCCTCACACGCTTCGTGGCCCCATAGGGAACTCCACCTAAGGCCCCAGTGGGAGGGTTCGCGTAGCACCAACGCCCCATTTCAGCACACCCCTCGCACGCCTTGTGGTCCCATAGGGAGCTCCACTAAGGCCCCAGTGGGAAGGTTCGCATGGCAGCAGCGCCCCATTTCGGCGCACTCCTCACACGCTTCGTGGTCCCATAGGGAGTTCCACCTAAGGCCCCAGAAGGACGGTTCGCATGGCACCACCGCCCCATGTCGGCACTCCCCTCACACTCCCATCGGGAGCTCCACAATAGGCGCCAGTGGGAGGGTTCGCATGGCACCACCAATCAATTTCGGCACACCCCTCACACGATTCGTGGCCCTTCAATGGAAAATTACCCTGGCGACGTACAACCCCTGCGCAAACGCGGGGCGCAAATAGTTGAGGACACTTTATAAGGGGGGGGGCGATGACGGAGCGAGGGTTACATATGTCTGCAGACGGAATTCGAGAGACTCGCAGGACACTGGCTACAGGACAAGGACTAGATTTACCTGATTAGTTACAACCCCTGAGCAACCCTAGCCACATCGAAAGCGGGCATCGCAGATCGCAGCCCCCCAGGGATGGCGAGGTCGTGTTTGGGTCCGCGCGTGGCGTCACTGTGCTGGGCCCCCCAGCAGGCCTCGAAAGTGGCGACAGTTTCACAGATACGCAACCCCCCAGAGTTTGGCGAGGTCAAAATTGGGTCCGCGCGTTGCGTCATTGTGCTGGGCCGCCCAGCAGGCCTCGAAAGTGGCGACAGTTTCACAGATCGCAGCCCCCCAGGGATGGCGAGGTCTAATTTGAATCCGCCCGTGGCGTCACTGTGCTGGGCCCCCCAGCAGGCCTCGAAAGTGGCGACAGTTTCACAGATCGCAGCCCCCCAGGGATGGCGAGGTCTAATTTGGGTCAGCCCGTGGCGTCTCTGTGCTGGGCCCCCCAGCAGGCCTCGAAAGTGGCGACAGTTTCACAGATTCGCAGCCCCCCAGAGTTTGGCGAGGTCTGATTGGTGTCCGCCCGTGGCGTCACTGTGCTGGCCCCCCCAGCAGGCCTCGAAAGTGGCGACAGTTTCACAGATTCGCAGCCCCCCAGGGATGGCGAGGTCTAATTTGAATCGTGCGTCACTGTGCTGGGCCCCCCAGCGCCTCGAAAGTGGCGACTGATGGCGAGGTCTGGGCCCCCAAGCAGGCCTCGAAAGTGGCGACAGTTTCACAGATCGCAGCCCCCCCAGGGATGGCGAGGTCTAATTTGAATCCGCGCGTCGCCCTCACTGTGCTGGGCCCCCCAGCAGGCCTCGAAAGTGGCGACAGTTTCACAGATCGCAGCCCCCCAGGGATGGCGAGGTCTAATTTGAATCCGCGCGTGACTGTGCTGGGCCCCCCAGCGCCTCGTGGCGCAGTTTCACAGATCGCAGCCCCCGACTGTGCGTGAGCCCCCCAGCAGGCCTCGAAAGTGGCGACAGTTTCACAGATCGCAGCCCCCCAGGGATGGCGAGGTCTAATTTGAATCCGCCGTTGCCCTGTGCTGGGCCCCCCAGCAGGCATCGAAAGTGGCGACAGTTTCACAGATCGCAGCCCCCCAGGGATGGCGAGGTCTAATTTGAATCCGCGCGTCGCCCTCACTGCTGGGCCCCCCAGCAGGCCTCGAAAGTGGCGACAGTTTCACAGATCGCAGCCCCCCAGGGATGGCGAGGTCTAATTTGAATCCGCGCGTCGCCCTCACTGTGCTGGGCCCCCCAGCAGGCCTCGAAAATGGCGACAGTTTCACAGATCGCAGCCCCCCAGGGATGGCGAGGTCTAATTTGAATCCGCGCGTGGCCCTCACTGTGCTGGGCCCCCCAGCAGGCCTCGAAAATGGCGACAGTTTCACAGATCGCAGCCCCCCAGGGATGGCGAGGTCTAATTTGAATCTGCGCGTCGCCCTCACTGTGCTGAGCCCCCCAGCAGGCCTCGAAAATGGCGACAGTTTCACAGATCGCAGCCCCCCAGGGATGGCGAGGTCTAATTTGAATCTGCGCGTGGCCCTCACTGTGCTGGGCCCCCCAGCAGGCCTCGAAAATGGCGACAGTTTCACAGATCGCAGCCCCCCGCAGGCAAGACAGGAAGAGGCAGGGAGGGAGGGAGGAGGAGGAGGAAGGAGTGGAGACCACACTGCTCTATTCAAAACGAATACCCAACCAAGGAGGGTTGGGAAAAAAATCTATATCCCTTAGCTTGTTGAAAGATTTCGGCATGCTCGCCTTGTCAGCTTCCCGACGCTCCAAGACAGGCCAAGAGGCCCCCAAGACTGCCCCAAGATGGCCCAAGAGGGGCCCAAGAGAGCCCCAAAACGTACAAGAGGCCTCCAAGACAATCGAAGAGGCTCCCAAGACGTTTGTAAGAGGGAGCCCAGACGGGGGACCCGAACGGAAATGTCAAGCCCTCAGCTTGAGAAGCTCTCAGGGGACCCCCAGAGGCCCCTAAGAAGCCCCCCAAGCCCCAAGAGGCCCCCAAGAGACCCCCAGGAAGCCCCAAGAGGCCCCCTCGAGGCTCCCAAGCGGCCCCCAAGAGCTTCCCGAGAGGCCCCCGAACTACCCCCAGGAGGCCCCCGAGAGCTTCGTCATTGTGGTCGTGGTTGTCGCCGCCATGCAGGGTGGACGGCACTGGCCGTAAGGCCTTCGCAGTAGACAACATGCCGAAAAAGAATGCCGACAGCCTTGGGTCGGGGAGACGTAAAACCCAGGGACGGGGGACTCGGGTTGGCCTGACGGGGCCATAATGAAAACGACGAGACCCAATCTGAAAATTGACGCGAGCTCCCGCTGCAAACAACCCGCGAAAACTGAACCGTCAAACTCCGTGCGGGCTCGTCAGAAACAGACTGCAGACCCGAGTTCTGGCGCACTCGAGTCTTCCGTTTCCCCGATTGGGGAGGAATGCGGCGGCGGCGTCGGCCAAGGCCGAAGGACGCGCGCCTCGATGAGGGCATAATTGATGCTCACGGCCTGGCCACCCCGGCCCGGCCGGCCAGGTCTGCGCGCCGCTCGATCGCATCGCACGCTGTCGTAGTCGTGGGCCGTCGGTCGTCGGTCGCCCGCCTTCCGTCGTCTGTCGACGTCGAGGGGGAAGGGGTGGGAAGGAAGGGGAAGGAGGAGGGAGAGGGAGGCGGGAGGTGGGAGGTGGAGGGGGGAGGAAGTGGACGGGAAGGAGGAAGTTCCTGCTTTCCCCGCTGTGGCCTCCCACTCCTCCCCTGTCGTCACTCTCCACGTCTGGGCGTTTCGCGGGGGGGGGTCCTGAGAAGAAGGAGAGAAACGAAAAGAGGGTGGAGGGAGGAGGGAGGACAGAGACATAGACAGAGCCCGCGCGCAAAAGTCCACACGAGGGGACTGGCGGGGTGGGGGCCAGAGCACCCAAAGGAGCATTACAGACGCAATGCGGTGAAACATTGGAAAAGTCAATTTCTGGCAAACGACAAGAATTGAACCTCAAGGTGCTCCCACTCAGCAATTGAAACGAGACTGTAAAGTCTGGATTGTTCGTACACTTTACAATGTCATCCGCCCACCGAGTTCTTGGCCGGGCGTGTTTGCGATTGAAACAAACATCTAGAGACAATGACGAGTCCCGAGTCAGCGCTTTGCATCCCCATTGCCATGGCTCCCCAGCAACTTTAGCAGCCCAGCGCCACTTCCTTTTATCGTCGCATGGTAACCCAATTGTGAATCCCCATTTGGTCAAGAACACGTTCTGCTTCATGGGCAGTTCCTTTGGTCCACTTATCCCAAGGCTCACTGACTGAATCTATAACCTGGCGGCGTGGTGCACGAATGATCATACGCAACATATGCCTCTAATGAAAAACCCAAGAAGCACAACCGTAAAGCACAAATGCGGTGATTGTGCCATGAAATAAACGTACCCGGTCGCGAAGCGAGTACGATCGCCTGGTAAATTCTTCCCTAAAAATGTAGCTTTCTCCTTCCGGCAGCGATGCGACTCACGACTTCCGTGCTGTAGGGGTTCTGGGATGTCACTTCTCGTCCCAAATACTTCTGCGACGCAGCTTGCGTGAGTATTTCCACAGGGAGCGCGTGATCACAAATGCATTCGGGGCGTATCCTTTGTCGCGTTCGCTCTGGTTGTGCAATATTTTTGTTTTTATCCAGGTGAACATCTAATCCAACCTTGGCGGCCTCGCGCCGGATATCGTGCAGCATACATGTCGCTTAAGTGAAACATCCGGCAAACAACAAAAAATCGTCAGCGAATCGCAAATTTGTCATCCGCTCTTCGGAAAAGCCAATTTGTAGAGAGTACTGGAGTCTTTGCCATTTGGGTTGGATCGCCTGGAAAATGCTTTCGGACAGCGCATTGAAAAGCAGAGAACTCAGAGAATCTCCCTGTTTGGTCCCACGCAGAATTTGGAAAGTCTTGCTCGTCTTGTCGGTGGAGACGGTGCCCGTCTGGTCGGTGTATAAACGTCGGAGCAAGTCCATGTAGCCCTCAGAAACGCCTTGTTCTGTGTTACCTAACATCGAAGACTGATAGGTTTCTAATAGGGTAAAAAGAAAGCAGCAGATGACTCCACAGGAGGGTCTGGGCGGGTGCCGGACAGGGTGCCGCGGAAGTCGTTTTAAGCCAACAGTCACACACTTCGTGCTCTTCGACCTCCCAGAACTCCATTCCCGGGCCACATTCTGAATGCCCGGAACCAACTGTAGGCCACTTCGTGCTCTTCGACTTCCCAGAACTCCATTCCCGGGCCACATTTTGAATGCCCGGACCAACTGTAGGCCACTTCGTGGTCTTCGTGTCCCCAGAACTCCATTCCCGGGCCACATTTTGAATGCCCGGAGCCAACTGTAGGCCACTTCGTGGTCTTCGAGTTCCCAGAACTCCATTCCCGGGCCAGATTTTGGATGCCCGGAGCCAACTGTAGGCCACTTCGTGGTCTTCGAGTTCCCAGAACTCCATTCCCGGGCCATGATTTTGAATGCCCGGAGCCAACTGTAGGCCACTTCGTGGTCTTCGAGTTCCCAGAACTCCATTCCCGGGCCAGATTTTGAATGCCCGGAGCCAAGTAGGCCACTTCCAGTTCCCGGGCCACATTTTGAAGCTGAGGCAGGCTGAGGCTGAGGCTGAGGCAGCTGATGCTGAGGCAGGCTGAGGCTGAGGCTTGACTGAGGCTGAGGCAGGCTGAGGCTGAGGCCGAGGCTGAAGGCAGACTGAGGCTGAGGCTGAAGCAGGCTGAGGCTGAGGCTGAGGCAGGCTGAGGCTGAGGCAGTCTGAGGCTGAGGCTGAGGCAGGCTGAGGCTGAGGCTGTGTCTGTGACTGCCGTTGCCACTGCGACTGTCATCGCGAATGCGACTACGACTGCGAGAACAGCACAATTCTACAACTGGATTCTCATCTGAATCTTAAGGGGAATGCTTCCAGATATGCTCCTACACATCGCTGTTAGGTTGCTTTGCCGGGATATTTTCCACAATGCGCCGTGGGATACTGTGTCAAACGCCTTTTTACCTAACAGCTCTTGCTGATAGGTTTCTAGTGGTTTCAAAAGAGAGCATCATGACTCCTCAGGGGGGTCTGGGCGGGACCCGGACAGGCTGCCGCCGAAGCCGAAATCGCTTGGGACATCCTCGCAAAATCGCTCCCAGAACTCCATTCCCGGGCCACATTTTGGATGCCCGGAGCCAACTGTAGGCCACTTCGTGCTCTTCGACTTCCCAGAACTCCATTCCCGGGCCACATTTTGGATGCCCGGAGCCAACTGTAGGCCACTTCGTGCTCTTCGATTTCCCAGCTTCGTCGGAGCCAACTGTAGGCCACTTGTGTTCCCAGAACTCCATTCCTGGGCATGATTTTGAATGCCCGGAGCCAACTGTAGGCCACTTCGTGTTCTTCTAGTTCCCAGAACTCCCCTGTGGCACATTTTGAATGCTGAGGCAGGCTGATGCTGCGGCCGAGGCAGGATGAGGCTGAGGCAGGCTGATGCTGAGGCCGAGGCTAAAGGCAGACTGAGGCTGAGGCTGAGCTGAGGCAGGCTGAGGCTGGAGGCTGCTGAGGAGGCTGCAGGCTGAGGCTGAGGCAGGCTGAGGCTGAGGCTGTGACTGCGACTGCCGTTGCCGCTGCGACTGTCATCGCGAATGCGACTACGACTGCGAGAACAGCAGAATTCGACAACTGGATTTTCATCTGAATCTTAAGGGGAATGCTTTCAGATATGCTTCTACACATCGCTGTTAGGTTGCTTTGCCGGGATAATTACATAAAAGATATAACAAAAAAAACAAGCGTGGCAATCCAAAATGGCATTTGCCACTCGTGTCGTTTCCGGGATCATAGTCGGTGCGAAGAAACGGTCATCCGTGGAGCACTGCTTGCTAAAGCCTGCTTGGTCTGGCGGTTGCTGCGGGTCGAACATGGGCTCCAATGGTCTGTACCAAAATCTGACAAATAACTTGTTAAGAACGGGAATAACCGTGATGGGTCTGTAAGTATACGGCGTTGCTCGGTCACTGGACTTGAAAATGACGGTTACGTGCGTTTTTCGCCACTGTTGGGCGTAGTCATTTTAGGTTGTAGAATGTCGTTGTAAAGCTTGAGAAGTACACGTTCAAGAGGACGTCCGCCATGTTTGATCATCTCCGCCACGACGCCTGACTTGCCCTTCGTTCTGCCAGTTCTCAAATCCTTTATTCCCTTTTCCAATTCTTGTTGCGTGAACGGGGGAACTGGCGTTGATATATCATTGGTGGTGGGTTCATCCCGTTGCTCTGGCACGTTGGGGTCAAGCGGCGTATCTAACATCTCGTAAGACTCATCGACAATATCAGCAATGCGCTTTGTGTCATACTTGTTTAATCCATCTTCTTTGACCACGTGGGGAATCATGTCTGCTTGTTTCCCACTCTTGCTGCCCCCAATATTCTTCAACCCCGACTAGCTGCTGATGATTGCGCTGATGTCGGCATGCTGGTTTGCACGTCGTATTGCCCTCGCCTCTCTACGACTGCGTTTGTTCAAAAACTGTCTGTGTGGATCCTCCCGTGGTGTTTGCCGTCTAAGAGCATCCGGAATATGTGTCGTTCTGGTCGTCACGCTGCGACTCGTAGTCCTCGGGCCATGCGTTCCCGAAAGCCTCCGTGAGCATACTTTCGATTTGGGGGCACCGTCGATTAAGCTCCTCTATGATGTTCGCCTGACCTATTGCATCCCTCAAGGTATCTGTATCATGTGCTACGTTGTCCGGTGGCAAACGTTGTTTCGATCGTTCGGGTCTCATCCTTTTGTGAACAATTATTTCTTCGGTCCCCTTCGGTAGAGTGATGGAGCTTCGTAGTCGCACGCACGTGTGGTCGGAGCCGACATCTATACAGTCTGTCGTCCCACAATCGCGCACAACTCCCAAAAATGGACGATCCACCGTGACGTAAGCGATCTGCTTGGTATTCTTGTCCGGGCCGCAATACGTCACATATTGTGTTGGTAATAACCATCCGTTCCGTAGACGCCAAATTCTTGAGCTGGTGGCCCCTGACATTGCACATACCATCGGCGCATGCGATTCCCATTGTCACCCGCCTGTCGTAACCCAACCCTGGCATTGCAAGCGGCTCCCAACATGATGCGCCGTTTTGTTTGTTTGGCCTCGCGTCTGATACTGTTGAGGATGGTATAGATATGTTGAACATGGTGGTCCGCATAGCCACCGTGAGGGAAATATGCCGTCAAAGTCGCAGTCGCAAACTATGTCGAGCAAGCTCCATATAAACAATGAATTAGCTAATGGGGGCGAAGGCGTCAAGGTATTTCTTCCACTTTGCATGCAATGAAATAGCAAACCCGTGCGTGTTCTGATCGTGGCCAGAGCCACAAAACTAAAGACCTCGATATGCAACCTATTGTTCAGACATCGTATTTCGCATCAGTTCGTTCATGAATAAAGCATCACACCTGGTCTTCCCCAATTCAGCCAGTAGCTCGTCCAGCCGCCCGCTGGATGTGAGTCCTCTCGCGCCCGTGCGGAAGATCCAGAAATCGTCCGCGTGAGCTGGACACTCGGGACAGGGAGGAGGAGAGGAGAAGGACGAGGGGGAGGAGGAGGAGGAGCAGGAGGAAGAGGAGGAGAAGGAGGAGGAGGAGGTGGGGGAGGAGAAGGAGGAAGAGGAGGAGGAGGAGGAGGAGGAGGAGGAGAGGAGGAGAGGAGGGGGAGGAGGAGGGGGAGGAGGAGGAGGAGGAGGAGGAGGAGGAGGAGGAGGAGGAGGAGGACGAGGAGGAGGACGAGGAGGAGGGGAGGAGGAGAGGAGGAGGAGGAGGGGGAGAGGAGGAGGAGGAGGAGGAGGAGGAGGGAGGAGGAGGAGGAGGAGGGAGGAGGAGGTGGAGGAGGTGGAGGTGGAGGAGGGGGAGGAAAAACAGGAGGAGGAGGGGGGAGGAGGAGGATGATGAGGAGGAGGAGGAGGAGGACGAGGACGAAGAGGACGAGGAGGACGAGGAGGACGAGGAGGGAGGGTGGAGAGGGGGAGGGAGGGGCGACGAGCCCGGACGGGGGACCCAAGCCCGTGCGGCCGCCGAGCGGGATCGGCCCGCCCAGCGGCCGAGTGGACCCGCGCGCCCCGAGGGGACCCCCGAGGGGAACCCGAAGGCGTCACACGGCGGCACCAAGATCGAAGGCCGACCGAACCTTCGATTGCAACTGATGGAAGCCTCCCATACCATCATGTCGACTATTGCGAATCGGCGCTAAATCGGCGCTAGATCGGCGCTTCTTATCTCGACGCCAAGGCGACGCAACTCGACACTGAATCGACGCTCGTCGACGCTAACCAACGCTGAATCGGCGCAGTTCTCGAACGCGAAAGATACCCGTACCCTTACCCAAGCGGGGTGGCAGGGGGCGGGGGGGGGGCGACACGCCGCAGCCGACGTCTGTTGCACAAGTGCAGATGCGACGGCCCATGGAACATTACAGGACGCTGTCTTCTCGTAACATCCGCTGGTACCGAAGGCGCGTGTTTTCCAATCGGCAAAGCGGCCGAGCGCGCATCGGTCGCTCTCGAGCTAGAATGGCTCGTTCGGAGGTGCCCACGAACACGCACAATCAAGCGTTTGGGGCTCGACGTGCAAAATTCGCCCTGGGCGTCCTGGGCGGACGCCGCTGCAATCCCGCTTTCGCCCCGAACGCCTTGGGCCCCGAACGCCAGGCGTGGTCGCCGGGGGCTGCTCCCTCGAAAACCCGCCTGGCGTCACCCCAGCTAGCTCCTGGTACGTGTCGGGGGGGGCCGTCGCCGAAACGCGTTGACGGTATCCCTGGAGACATACCCGTACCTAGACGAAGTGGCGTTTGGCCGAAATCGTTCTCGGGCGCACGCGCGGCCCCCGAGAGCTCTCCCGAACGTGGCCGCAGCGGCCCCCAGGGGAGCGTGAGATTGCGCGACGGCGCTCCTGCGGGCAGGCCCAAACGCAACGGAGTGGTGGTGCCTGTCCCCAAGTGGGACAGGCACCACCACTCCAGTGCTGTTCTAAACGCCGCGGACACCCACGATGCCCCCAGACGTCCCTGACGCAAACCAGGGCATGTCGCTGCAATCAAACAACCAGCCACTCAGCGTGTCGTTGCGTCCTGACGCGCGGATGCTGAACCAGCGCGCACGCGGCAGGCTGATCGGGCGCAGTGGCAAGCGCCCAGTCTAGCGGACGGCCCTCTTCATCCAGGCCGACCCCGGGCAAGGGTACGTTTAGGACCAATGAGCTACCACATCGACTCCCAGACGCTCATCGACGCTGCTCGACACTTAAAAAAATTGCGAGGGTACACAGGGCTCCCATGATTTGCTACCGAATGAACCGACAGCGAGACCACACGGACTGAAAGCGGCCCCTAAAAGGACGCGGCGACGCAGGAGAACCGACCGGACCGGAACGACCGAGTGCAGCCGACGGCAAAGCAGCCGAGCCGCCCGAACCAAGGGCACCCTGTTGGAACCCTGGGGCAAGCCTGAGCCAGATCGGAACGCGAGATCGGATCGAATCGGAATCGGATCGGATCGCCAGCGAATCGTCCCAACTCGAATCGAAATGGGATCGACGCGCCCGGCTCCTGCTAGCCCTGACCGATGCCGGTGAATCAAACCGAACCGAATCGAGCCGGAATCGCGGTCCCACCGGCATCGGATCGGCTCGTTGGCGGTCCTGTGGGGGTCCCCCTGCCCGATCGACACCAGCCGACTCCAGACCGCCGCCGGCGTTCACCTCGAGCGCCCACGCTGGGGTCGCCGCCGCGTCAGCGCGATGCGAGCCTTCCGCGCGGCGGCGGCCGCCTCTGCGCGGCACCTGCCGCGCGGAAGGTCTGGACCCTGCCGTGCCCCATGCTCTTTGGGGTTGGGTTCCGGATCGTCTCTTGAAGGTCCTGGAGACCGAAAACTGCCCCACACACACACACACACACACACACACACACATACATACACAGTTCAGGATGTTGGAGGTCTGGACCGCCCAGCGACCAACATATACATGTCCTTGCCCTCGCGGTCTGGACCCGAGGCGCGATCCCGTGGATACACGGTCACGTGGATACGCGATCACGTAGATACGCAATCCCGCGGGGAGTCCGCGCCAAGCCACCCCGTATCCATGCGGCATGACTTCTCCTCTGAGGTCCATTACTGCAGATTACAATCTCTAGCTCTGCCCTTGCGATAAACAATCTCCATTCTGCGATGTCCCTCAGCAGACGGTTCGTTTCACAGCGACTGATTGGCAGGGGATCCTTGAGAACCCTCTTAGGCTCTATTCCGAAATGCTGAACAAACAGCGTGTCTGCAAATATGACTATCCACTTGACTTGTCGAAGCTTCCGTGCGACAGGGGTGCGAGCATGCTTGTCCCTCATGTTCACCCAGAGTGTAGGCCTTGAGCCAAAATGAATGAGGATGAACAATTTGCCTGCTTGCCAGGGCACACATACGGTTTGGCCAAGCGCGTGCTTTGCGCCCAGGGTGGTGGCCACGCAGCCAGGCGCACCCCGTCTGTATGATCTGGCTCTACGTTGGCACAATGAGGCGGCGCACCGTCTCCGTGTCATGTGTCACACAGTGTTGCACTGCGGTGATGTCCAAGTCCGTCGTGCCTGGGTGCTGATCACCCCACACGGCCAATTGGGGCACCCAGCGTGCAGCTCACTGAGGCCCCGCGCGGCCGCCAGCGGCCGCCAGCCTTGCGCGATGCCAACGCGGACCGCCAGCGGACGGCTCACGGATGCCCACACATGCGCGGACGCACACACCACGAGATGTGCGGTCGCGGCAAAGGAGTCAAGACCGCGCGGCCGTGGATGTGGCAGGCTCGTGTCGTGACGACTTGCGCGTTGGTTTGTGACAACCTTGAACCATCGCGGTTTTCTGACAGCGCGGATATTTCTACATCGGCCGATTCCGAGCACCTTGAACACCCGCGCGGAGATCGCCGCTGCCTCGTCGCAACACGAGTGGAAGAAGAACAAACTGCACATACACAAACTGTCTGCGCGGAGCTCCGAAAGTGTATGTTTGCACAGCTTCTTCTGCTTCGAAGCCTACCGCATGGATGTGTCTCTCGGGGGCGCGCAAACATGGATTGGCGATCCCTGGATCTGGCGCGCGGTCGCCAAATCCATGGATCTGGGGAGGTGCCCTCCCCAAAATGCTGCCAGTGCCGCATCGCTCGGCGGCGGAAAGCCGCGATCTCCCGTGGAAGCGGGACCCGTCGCTAAGCCACGCCCCCTTGATCCATGTTTGCGACCGCCTGGGTTCCTGTCCAAGGCGTTCGTTTACAAGCACATCGTCTTCGGCACCACCTGATTCCGAGGCTTTGCCCCCTCCTGGCCTTGACGTGAGGCCCCTCCTTCTGCCCCCCTCACCAATTCAAGCTGTGCGCGGCCCGCTTAGCCTCGACCGGAAGAGGTGCGCTCTCGACCCGCGAATCAAAAATGCTTGCGACCGCCTGCTGCCGCATGGCCGTGCCTCCCTCCCGCGAGGCGCCGCCCGCCCTCCCCCCCTGCCTTGCAGAGCCAATAGGGCGCCATGGCCAGCACCCCGTCGGGGACCTGCTCGAGGTCCTTCAGCCGCCTGGGCCGGGCCCCGACGCGCTCGGCCGCCGGGGGCCGAAACGGACGGACGCCGCCGGCCTCGACGAGGACGGCGACGACAAAGACGACGACAAAGACGACGACGACGACCACCACGACGACGACGACGACGACGACAAAGACGACGACGACGACGACGACAACGACAACGACGACCACGACAACGACAACGACGACCACGACGACCACGACCACGACGACCACGACAACGACGACCACGACCACGACGACCACGACGACGACGACGACGACCACGCCGTTGCCCAAGGTCCTTCAGCCGCCTGGGCGAGGACTGGGCGCGCTCGACCGCCAGGGGCGGAAGCGGACTGCCGCGTCCGGCCTCGACGACGACGACGACGACGACGACAAAGACGACGACGACCACGACGACGACGACGACGACGACGACGACGACGACGACGACGACGACGACGGCGACGACAAAGACGACGACGGCGACGACGACGACGACGACGACCACGAACACGACGACGACCACGACGACAACGACGACGACGACCACGCCGGTGCCCGAGGTCCTTCAGCCGCCTCGGCGAGGACCTGGCGTGCTCGACCGCCAAGAGCGGGAGCGGACTGCAGCCGCCAGCCTCGAGGAGAAGGTTTTGGCCCATCTTCGGCCCTCTCTGGCGGCGCGCGATGCGGCGCGCACAAGGGATCGGCGATGCATTGCCGATGCACCGGCGATGCATCGGCGATGCACCAGCGATGCTTCGGCGCCGCCGGCGTGGAGAAAATCGGGCTCAACATCAAGCCGCAGCGACGGCGCATCGGCGATGCAGCGCGCTCTTCCGACCCCTTCTGCTCGGACCCCATCTGGGAGGCCTATTGGCGGCGCGCACAGGGGGGGGTAGGGGGAGGGGGAAGGCTTCTTAGAAGCGGTTGGTCGAGTGGGGTTCGCGCTGAGGCTACCCGTAGCAGTGTGCGTGCCGCTGCTGGCTTTTCTCTTTCCCTGCGGTGCCAGGCAGGGTTGAGAGGCGTCGACGGAGTCGTGGTGATACTGCTTGCAAAATGCTGCTGTCGCTAGGCCAAATGGCCACGTAAGTGGTGCTAGTTGTGGGGGCGCACGAGGTAGATGTCGTAGCGGCGGTGGCGCGTGCTGCGGAACGTGGTAGAACGGGGTGGTGCAGCGTGAAGCTGGATGAGTACGAATTAAA